GTTTGGTTGGGGGTCACCACAACATGAGGAACTGTATTAAAGGGTTGCGGCATTAGGAAGGTTGAGAACCACTGCTAGAGGAAGCAGGATGGCCGATGTTTCAGATAGAGGAAGAACATGAGAAAATCTGTATTCTACCTCCTTTTTGAAAAAAAAAAAAAATTTCTTCTTATGGCTTACTTACTTGGGCTTCTAATGATTCCATTTTTCTCATTCTATGTCAATTGAACTGTTTAATGTTTTAGATTAGATTTTGTGTGCAGAAAAGACTAATTGCATCTGTCATGCAAAGGAAATGAAGTGAATCTCACAAGGCTTGTCTTGGAAAACCCACGCCAGCAGCCCAGAAACCACGGCTTCCCTTTCTAACAGGTTGCTTAGACACCTTGCATTCCTTTCGAAAACCTTGCCCGACATCACGTTCTTATAGCATGTCTCACACAGGAATCCTCACTGATTCCCCCTGCAGCAGGCTTTCTCACCTGTCTTCCTTTCTTTCTCCCTTTCTGAAACCTGTACTGTACAGAAAACTCATGAGTATTCCCACCACTCCGAAATAGCCACTTGTAACCGGTGAGTGAATAGCCTGCAAATCCTATAAAATAAAGGGCTAATATGCAAATTGACTGAAAGGCAGAATGACCAGTTGCTATGATGCATACTGACCATCAGGAGCAAGATGCTCAATGCAGGAGCTGTCCCCTGGTTGTCAGTACACTCCCACAGGGGGAGCGCTGCTCAGCCAGGAACCCTGAGCCATACTCATGGCTGGCAAGTGCAGCAGTGGTGGCGGGAGCCTCTCCCGCCTCTGTGGTAGCCCTAAGGATGTCTGACTGATGGCTTAGGCCCTGTGGGGGAGGGGCCTAAGCCGTCAGTTGGACATCCCCCCGAGGGCTCCCAGACTGCAAGAGGGCACAGGCTGGGCTGAGGGACCCCCCCGCCTGAGTGCACGAATTTCTTGCACTGGGCCTCTAGTTATCTATATAAAGAAAAATATACATAGGGCTATAAATAACTATTTATATAAATGTCTTTCACCATTGCCTTTTCTTTCATTTCATTGTAAAACATCAATTAAATGACAATTGAATAAAGTGCAACAAAATTAGTCAGAAAAACTATTTCATCAAATTCTAGTTCAAACTCCTTACACTGGTATTTAAGATAGTTCCCATTCCCTGGAAAACTTTCTGATTCTTCATTTATCCAAACAATATTCGATTTGAGTCACACTTACTGTGGGAAACTCTTTAAAAAGCTGCCCTACCCCTGTAGGCATCCTTTCAATGGTCCCTTTGCTCTGCCATCCTATTGTGCTCACTGTATATGCCACTCAGCATTTGCCATTCAATATATACTGGCTGTTGTGCTATTTCTCTTTTCTAAACTGAAGGGAAACTGTCTTGGACATCCTTTTATCCACTGCCTTATTTAGCACAGTGCCCTAGATTCGATAAGCAGCTGATGAATATTTGATAATAAGGACGAGGATGCTGTTACCACCTCATAAGGGGACTTCACCTTGATGTCTTATTCCTAAGTATCTGTGAATCCGTAGGCACCACCATCCCTATTCTTTCTCACTGTATGTGCTTCCTATCAAATTCTATAGTTCCAAACCTGTCAAGACTCTTGTTCAGGGTCTAATGGGAGAGTTTTGGCTTCCAAGATGTTTCCTTAATATAATAATAGCACATGACATGGTTTTTTCCCCCCTCTCCCTCATACTCCGTCTTCCTCTTTCTTTCTTTCTCTCTTTTTCTGTCTTTCAACTCACCATCTTTAAAACAGTGACTTGACTTTTTTTTTTTTTTTTTAAAAAAAGGGCTAAAAACCAGGGGCTTCCCAGATGGAGAATAAAGAATGGTGTCCTTATCCTGGTGGTCAAGACCTTTACCATGAGGTTTACATATTCTATTCCTCGAGGCGGTCACTTCTCCTTTCTGGGCCTACTGTGTTCCAGGGACTGTACCAGGTGCTGTATACACAGTCACTCCAATCCCTGTTCACAGCGGCCTGCGGGTGGATGCTCCCCATGTTGCTGGTGAGTAAAGGGAAGCTCAGAGGCACTTGCAGGTATTCTCTCTTCCCTGGCAAGGTTTAAAAAGAGGCACAGTCAAAGCAGGTTTGCTGACGTAACTCCCAGCATCACAAAATTAAAATATTACAAACTTGCCCAGCCGGTGTGGCTCAGTGGTTGCACATTTACCTATGAACCAGGAGGTCACATTTCGATTCCCAGTCAGGGTTCATGCCTGCGTTGTGGGCTCGATCCCCAGTAGGGGGCATGCAGGAGGCAGCTGATCAATGATTCTTTCTCATCATTGATGTTTTTATCTCTCTTTCCTACTCCCTTCCTCTCTGAAATCAATAAAAATGTACTTTAAAAAAATCTTACAAACCCCCTCAAGGAAAGGTGCTCATTAAAGCTTCCAATTCCTTTGAGAATATAAGTGAACATGTACTTGCTCCTTCCCTGCTTTAATTTCTGAGATCTCTGTTCCCTTCATTGGCCCACAGGGATCCAACATCTTTCTTGATACCAGGGGTCACATCTCAGGACTCACTGGGCTGGTTTGGTCTGATGACGGGCAGGCAGGATGAGCTGGGACCACAGCCAGAACCTCCCGCTGGGGTAGGTCAGATGCTGGGGGTTAGCCCAGCCGCAGGCCCGCATAGAAGGCTCTTTCTGAGCACCTAGTGATTATGACACCGGATGACAGGAAAGCTCTCAGGGTCGTAAAATCCAGAAGCAGGGCCAGGGATGTCCCATGACTGTGGTTGCCGCTGTTTATTGTACACGAGCATCCTGTGTGCCTAGAACTTTATTTACATCAGCTACAACCTTACAACAGGTTTTCCCAAAACATGGCCCCTGAAACAGTGCTGTGAGCACAGAAATAGCTGTGGGGTCAAAGAAGTGTGAGAAACAGTGTACTATTGTCACCCCACCGAAGAAATTAGATTATTCAAGGCTCCTAAATTACAAACATAACCTCCCCCTCCAAAAAAAAAAAAAATCCTTGCAATCAAGAAGCCATACAGAAAGCATTTAAGATAAGAATATGTCATGAGCAATAGAAATGACATCTACGTTTTCTGAAATGTTGAGAAATTTCTGTTAAATGAAATGAGAGAGACAAGATGGTCGCTCAAATACACAAAATGAAGGATTTTTTTTTTTCCTACAGGAGGGGAAACAGAAGCATGTTTGCACACAGAGGCCAAGCAACCACGTAAAGGCAGAGCTTGAAGATGAAGAAATATACTTTTATGTCTTGCTCCCCAGAGAAATTGTGAGCTCCTGGTGAACTGCCAAAAGAGGCACTCAAGAGAAGTTTTGAAATGGCAAGAGAATTGATAATTAATGGAATACAATCCTAAAGAATAAACAAAGGTCTGAATCATGGGAGTCAGAGCAAGGAGAGCGGAAAAGTACTTTCTCTGACCTAGAAAGGGAGTGGGAGAGGGTGAGGGAAACACTGGGGTGTTCTGAAGGGAGCCGTTGGGCAGTGGGAAGACTCCCATCAGATGGCCCCTATCTGTTTGGTTATGTGGGAAGCCCGGTCAGTGCTCTCAGAGGGAGCTGGCAGTGTTTGGGAGTGGGGCAGAGTGGGAAAGGCACTGAGCAGGACAGAGAACAGCTGTTGTGGCCCACATGTTTGGGAGTCAACAAGAGATGCCTAACTCTCCGCCGAGTAAGAGTGAGAACCCAATGTGAAGGATAGTCCATATGGCGGTGCTTAAGGGCACAGTCCCTGGAGCCCGACGAACCAGGTTTGGGTTTGAATCCCAGATCCCTTCCTTCCGAAAAGGTGGTAAGAATTAAATTAGGTAACATATGTAAAACACGTAGGAGAATGCCTGGCACATTAGCAAGCACCTAGTAAATGTTGGCTATTGCTGTTGAAGTTGTGGTGGAACCACTCATATAAGAATCTTGAGATTTTTCTTAAAGAAACATGAGGTTACCTGGGACAGCCAAAGGTAGGATCATAGTCATGGTATGAGGCATGAACCCAAGGCTGCGGAGTGGCCCAGCAGGCACTGTGAGAGGTCACAAGGTGATGGGGTCTGGATTTCTAACTTGGTAGGGAAGGTAGTAAAGCTCAGAAGAATAAAAGTGAGACATCTGAGCTTCAGCATTTAGCTGAGGAAATGATGACAAGACCCAAAATGTTGCCGTAAAAGTCATGGTGACCATGTAGCATTCATCCAATTCCTTTGCCAAAAATTGTTTTGAGCACCTACTACGTGCCAGCCATTCTTCTAGGGCTGGGGATACAGTAGTCAACAAAACACACAAACATCCCTGTCCCCATGGAGCCTACATTCTAGCGCAAGCTTGACCTCAGCTCCTTCCTCACACCATGGCCTTTATCTCCCTGACAAACCAATTAGGTAGGTATTTTCAAACCCATTTTTTTTTTCAGACAAAAAAATTAAACTCTGCCCCAAACCAAATAGCTAATAAATGGCAAAGCCAAGTTTCAAACACTGACCTAATGTTAAAGTTTATGCTTATAAAAACGGTTCTGTGTTTCATTTCTGTGCTGCTGAATGATTTTGGTGGGTGCAGAGGAAAGCCTAAGGGTTGAGGGGCTTGGAGCCTATAAGGTCAGACTGGTAGGCCCCTCCCGTGGGTGCTGAGTTCCCCAAGAGTGAAGGGAGAAGCTGAGGTACAGAGGGCAATGTGACCTTGGCACTGAAATCCTGGGGGAAGTGAGAGTGGGCTGTGAAGGGTGGGTAAGGGGAAGTGTGGACTTCAAGGCTGAGTAGGTACCAGAGCATAAAGTAGGGGCAGCCCTGGTGGAGAAGCAGTGGGAGAAGTCCTGTCCTCCATGTGGAAGGTCTCAGATAAGGAGGCGCAAGAGGCAGGCGTGGCAGAAGCAGCTGAGGTTGGGAGAGCATCCAGAGCATCATGTCAGAGGCTTATAGATGGATGGACAGAGGGCTGGGGTGGGAGAAGGAATTCGTTTTCAAAGAATTGGCAAGGAAGCTGGGAGCTGGGGACGCAAGTTCAAGGAAAAGCAGGAGAGCAGCGTCTCCCTGGAACCCTGGGAGAGGGGGTTGAAGGGTTGCATGTGCCCCATTCCAAGTGGAATGTCAGAGCGGGCAAGTCCAACTGCAAACTTACCTGCCTAGGTGTGGACCACTCATCAATGGCCTCCTCTCTGCCTCTGGTGCCGGGAAAAGAAGGATTTGGCATCACCAGAACTTTCCAGAGAAGCTTGACTTTTGCTAGTCTGCACCACTGAATTCAGAGGTATTTGTGATTACCAAACGGGGAAGAACAAGGACATTACCAGGTTTACATTATATTTCACAGCTGTACCAACTCATTATAACCTTGCCAGGAGCCTCTGGTGACAGCAAAGCCTTGATTAGTGGAAACACGCTTTAAAACTCCTGAGATTTCCAAATTGTCTAGCTAGAAGGTATGGAAGGGGGTGATCTGGGTGGTTCGGCCTGGAGAAAATGCCCACAAAATATAAGCTAGAGATTTCTTCAGCTGTCTTTTAAAGTAGTTGATCTGTTCTTTTTGATTCATGTTTTTCCAAATTTGTAATTGTAAAGGTTTTGTTGAAGTGGGGGCAAGGCGGAGGGGTTCATTCCAGTTTTACCAAGTAGTCCTAGAGGTCAGTGGTGTACACATATAGGAATGGATACATGGGGTGGAGGGAGAAAAGGGTTTGCAGTTTATAGGGTCTACACTTTACTATGTATATGAATCACCTGGGAGCTTGTGACAACGCAGAGGCTGACTCAGTGAGTTGAGGGTGGAGCCTGCGATTCTGCGTGTTGAGCCAGTTCCCAGGTGCTGCTGGTCTGCAGACCGGTCCAAAGTTAACTTCAAAAAGACGGCTTGTGTTTGAGGTAAGAAGGCTGTGGACCAATCCATTAAAACATAATGGGCATTAAATGTTATGTATAATAGGATGATTGTAAAACTTTCAGCCAGGATTGGGAGGTTTAAATCCTGATCCTACCATTTTTGAGCAATAACATTTTAGGCAAATCGTGGATCCTCTCTGAGTCTTGGTTTCCTCATGTAAAAAAGAAAAAACAAATGGAAGTAATAAGATCTGTCTGGGTTGCTTGACCACAGGGTAGATGTGAGGATTAAATGAAACAACTGAGTGAAAATGCTTCATAAACTGAAAGAGCTGTGCATGTATTATTATTACTACTAGTTTGTTATATTACTTAAGCTAAATAAACCTTAGTGATAGCTCCCCTTTCTACTGGTTTTATCTTATTTTTAACATTGACAAGTGTTTGCATCCATCTGACACTGTGTGAAGCACAGCAAGAATTGTTTGGTTTACTCTTCACAACTTCAATAACGTTAGTAGTGCAATGTTAGCCACATTTTACAGGTGATGGAAATAAGACTTGGAGCATTAAGATTATGCTTAGGCACTAAGAGTTGTGATGGGAACTCAGCCTGACTCTCCAAAATTCAAACTCTTATTCACTACTTTCAGTTGACTCACTGTAACAAACACCCAGCATCACAGAAGAAGGTGACGGCTTAGAATAGGAGTTGGCCAACTCTTTCTGCAAAGGGCGAGATGTTAAATATTTTAGGCTTTTCATGCCACGTGTAGGTCTTTTGCAATTACTCAGCCCTGTCACAAACGCCGCCATTGACAATACATAAAGGAATGGGCGTGGCTATGTTCCAATAAAATGTTATTTACGGGAACAGGTGGCAGGATGGATTTGGCCTGTGGGCTACCGTTTGCTAATTCCTGGTCTAGAAAATTCTGACCTGTCCAGTAGGGTGGCTGTTTAGATTTAAGTTAAAAATTAAGTTACTCAGTGGCATTAACTACATCTCAGATGTTTAGTGGACACACGTGGCTAGTGCCTGCTGTACTGAACAACACAGAGAACATTTCCACCATCCCAGGAAGTTTTACTGCAGAGCCATGGTCTAAGTCATCACTGAGGGTGGGGGCGAAATCTCTTGCAAGGAGCTGTAAGGACCTCGAATTTCTGAGTCCTGACTTTGCTAGTTCACCAGCTATACAACTCTTAGCAAATCACACCACCCACCAGAGCCTCAGTTACTGCACACATACCTTCCTCACTGTGTTGTGGTGGGAACTGAACAAGAAAACATGTGAAAAGCACTTTGTAATCTTAGGAGCTGCACAAACACAAGTCATCATTAGGATTCTAAGTGGTACTTGAAACGTGAGAAAATGTACGGAGGCAGAATTTGTGTAGGTAGCTGGATTGAGAGAACCATATCTCCTTTTAAATCGCCCAATACATGCTACTAGGATGCCAGAGAGTTACCAAAATCAGGAAATATTATTTGTGCAGTATTCTAATTTTTCAACAGGAAAGATCTCAGTGGTCATCCATCTTTCAGAGCTTGGAATTGACTTCGTAATCCTTAACACCTTCAGGAAACAGATGCAACTGTCCAGATAGGAGCTGGGATGAAACTGGGTGGGTCTCAGTGGCCTTCCTGAATGAGACCAAAGGTTTATTCTTCTTTGTCAGACTCCCAGTTAAGGAGGATGGAGCCTTTTCCCGCTGCTTCTCCTTCACAGGGGACCCCTTTGAATTGCAGCCACTGGAGATCCCCACATGGATCAAGGACAAAGCTCAATTTTGCCACAGAGTGAAAGACCAGCCCTTGGTTTCAACATCCCTTAGGTTCCCCGTGCCATTTTCCTTCCTCCTGTTCCTAATCCCAGCTGTAAATCACCTTTCCAGGGAAATTCCTGCATGATATCACTTCCCTCCCCATCACTCCACCGTCTCCTCTGTCCTTCAGGACCCTAGGTGCCAGGCTACCCTCCAATTCTAGGCCATGTCGCTGTTGTCACTCATTGGAGTACACAGAGGGGAAGTTTGCTTCCTGTTTAGTGCTGGGTACAATCCTTCTGCTTTCTGTCAATTACTGGGAGTTACGTTTCATATTCTTTCTTATAGCTCAGCGGTTCTCAACCTGTGGGTCGCGACCCCTTTGGCGGTCGAACGACCCTTTCACCGGGGTTGCCTAAGACCATCCTGCATATCAGATATTTACATTATGATTCATAACAGTAGCAACATTACAGTTATGAAGTAGCAACAAAAATAATTTATGGTTGGGGGTCACAACATGAGGAACTGTATTTAAAGGGCCAGAAGGTTGAGAATCACTATTATAGGTCTTCTTCTGAGCATATTAGAACTCGTCTCATGCCTCTCTATCTTCTCTCCCTTCTCTCCCATTTCCTTTCACCTTTGTTTTTCTTGCTCCCAACGTACCCTAAGATTCCCTCTCTGCTCTCCAGCTACCCTTGCCTGTCAGGCTGGAGTGAAGGTTCCTGTTCTCAGACCACCAGCTGCAGATGGTGTACATTGGTCGAATCTTTAAAAAAGTAATTTGGGAATATTTTTCTAAGTCTTTAAAAATGTATATATTGTATTCCCAGTATTTCCACTTCTAGGGAAGTATCCTAAGTAAATTATAGAGATGCTCTGGAAATGACTAAATAAGGAAATTCATTACTGTATTATTTATAATAGTAAAAAAAATAGAAAAAATCTAACGGTCAATAATAGTAAAAGAATTTAAAAACCCATCACATTTAAAATGGAAATACATATACCAAAATATTAACAGTGCTTTTGTTTGTATAACTGTGGGGTATCTCTGCTTATCCCTGGAGTACCAGTGATTTTTATTTTCTTTTGCCAATTTCTATTTTTTATAATGTGCATATATGGGGCGTCCCCCCAAAAAGTAATACTTTAATAGCTGATAGCTCAATTTTAAAAATGAAGTGTTTATTTTAATAGACACTGCCTTTATAATTATTCCAAGTGTATGTATACATTTTGGGGGGATACCCTACATATAATCAGAAAGAGGTCATACAAATAAAGGTTCCCACCTCCCTAGCCTGGCTATTTTGTATTGCTCACTAATATTTCCACACAGAGCGACACAGCCACGATGGCTTTGGAATTTGGACCCTCACTGTTAAATCATGTATTGAGTCAGTCAACAAATCGTTACCCAGCCTCTTTCTTCCCATCGTGTGCAATCTACTGAGCTAGACATCCTTCAGGCAGAATGGAATCAGTACAAGGACAGCTGGTGTTCCTTGGGGCCTGGAGAGGTCCCAGTGTTCTCCCTCTAACAGTATTCAGGGCAAGCCTAAGCTGTAGACAGAAGGCATAATCACAGCATCTGTGTTGATTGTGTGCCTTGCAGTTGGCTAAGGAAATTTACCGAAATGGATCACATCTTGGACAGATCAGATGATGAGGACAACATTTTCTTTGAAAATCCTCAAACTGACTTCCTTCAAGAGGCAGCCACTAAAAAACAGGTAAGGGAGAGACTTCAATGTCACGGTGGGGAAGAGAGGAACTTCTTATCTCCAAGCGCAAAGGCAATCTCCGAGGGTTTCCTCGTGGTACATCCGTGCAAGACCTCCTGAGCTTGCAACCAGGAGGGAGGCTTTGTCTCCTCTGAGGGCTGCTGTGAGCACTGCAGAGGCGAGTTAGCCGCCTGCAGAAAACTGTGCAGCACATGTTACTCTTGTCTCTGGGATTAGTGACATTTTTCACCTTCGTTCAAATTACCACATGTAAAATCCCCCTTGCTCACAGGTTGTCTTCCAACAGAAGGCATCAGAAATATCTAGTTACTCTTAATTCAGTCTAAACCCTGCTCAGTCTTTGAAATTCAGTCACCCAGCTGACAAGGAGTGGGGGGAGTTAAGACAAAGCCTGAGCTTGTCCTGGAAAGAGGTTATGCTTTCACTACCATTTAGATCAAAGCAAAGGCCAAGGCCCCCTCTCTTATTGTTGAACAATATTTCCATAGATTCCCCAGGCATTTTGGCTATAGGGAAATTGAGGTGTGTGTGTGTTGGAGTTGGGGGGGGGGTGGTGTCTATGATCTTGGGAAACATGAATTGAAGCGATCACTTTACCAATAGTTTCATCTGATTCTTTGTGGGCATCTCGTGCCTGGATTCCAGGAAAAGGCTATACCATTAGACCCGCTTTGCCCCACATCTCTCCTGCCTTCACGTGCCCTCCTGAGTGCTGTTAGTCAGTGAACTGTGACACCATCACTTGTTGACCCAGGACAGAATAAGTCTAATTAGAGAATAACATTATTCCCTGTGTACGAGTTTATCGAATAGACCACACTCTCAGACTATTCCTTACAAATTTCAAGTCAGGGCACAAGGTTTAACAAAACATTTTTAAATTGTTATGACTGTATTCTTCCTATTAATTTATTTACACGGAAAAATCTACAATTGCATAAATAAATCACATGCAGGTGCATAATTAACACTTTGTTTTCATAAATTAGCCTCTCTGCTGATAATAGGAAAAATCTATGACTACTTGAGAAAGAAACATTTTTCTCTTATTCTCTGAAAGCAAACCAGAAGGTCTATACTTGGCATAAACTGTCACTTTTTTGTTTTTATAAGGGAAGATCGGAAGATTTAAAGGACAGGTTCAGGAAATGAACAGAGTTAATAGAAGTTAAAACACACACACACAATTGTTGGTTTAATTAATAAAATCGACTTTAGTCAAACTGCCAAAGCTGCTCTATCTAACCATCAAAGCACACCCTGCCCACCCAATATTTAGAAATGAATACTATTTTGCTCTGGTTTCACATTCCTGATTTCTTCCACTGTTCTACACAGTGTTGATTTTGGATGCCAGGTGAGTGAACACACTTTCCTATTTCCTGCTTTTGTCTGCATCTCTCACAAGCAAAATGTATTTTGCCTACTTCTGGAGTCTGTTTATTCTAAAACTGCTTATTGAGCATCCGTTATGTGCTGGGCACTGTGAAGTGTGGGGAGACATAGGTACAACCTCTTTCCCCTCAGTGAGCACTCATACTAGGAAGGGCTCAAACAAGGAGATAACAGTCATGTGCAACAGATCCATGCCAGGAGTCTTGGATGTGCTACAGAGTCATGGCAGGGGCCGTACAGGGAGATGACCAGGAATATGACAACCGAGTTTTTTTTTTTTTTTTTTGATAGATGCATATTTGTTGTTCATAATTTGTATCTTTACCTTTTTCTTCCTCTTCCTCTTTCTTCTTAAAGGATACCTTTCAGCATTTCATATAATCCTGGTTTGGTGGTGATGAACTCCTTTAGCTTTTCCTTATCTGTGAAGCTCTTTATCTGACCTTCAGTTCTGAATGATAGCTTTGCTGGATAAAGTAATCTTGGTTGTAGGTTCTTGGTATTCATCACTTTGAATATTTCTTGCCACTCCCTTCTGGCCTGCAAAGTTTCTGTTGAGAAATCAGCTGACAGTCGTATGGGTATTCCCTTGTAGGTAATTGAGTTTCTTTCTCTTGCTGCTTTTAAGATTCTCTCTTTGTCTTTTGCTCTTGGCATTTTAATTATGATGTGTCTTGGTGTGGTCCTCTTTGGATTCCTTTTGTTTGGGGTTCTCCGTGCTTCTTGGACCTGTAAGTCCATTTCTTTCACCAGGTGGGGGAAGTTTTCTGTCATTATTTCTTCAAATAGGTTTTCAATATCTTGCTCTCTCTCATCTTCTGGCACCCCTATAATTCTGATGTTGGTACGCTTGAAGCTGTCCCAGAGGCTCCTTACACTATCCTCGCATTTTTGGATTCTTTTTTCATTTTGCTTTTCCGGTTGGGTGTTTTTTGCTTCCTCGCATTTCAAATCATTGACTTGATTCTTGCGCTCCTCTGGTCTGCTGTCAGGAGTCTGTATAATATCCGTTATTTCAGTCTGTGTATGCTTAATTTCTAGTTGGTTACCCATCATAACATCGAGGGTCTCATTAGTTTTCTTGTAGATCTCATTAAGTCTATCGGCGGCTTCTAAACAGTTCTTGAGAGACCTTAAAAGTGTGGTTCTGAACTCTATATCTTCCATTGACAATTTTGTCCTGTTTCTTTGTCTCCGCATTTTGTTATGCTTTCTTGGTGCACCCCCTAGTGGTCTTTGTGCGCAGTCTTGTAGTTAAGCCTTGATTGTTGTAGCTAATACCAGGGAGGGTTTGACCCCCAGGCCAAGTGGCTGTGAGAATCAGCTGTGTCTGCCTGACAACCGAGTTTTGAAGGATAAACTGGATGGGGAAAACATTTCAAAAAGATGGGACTACACATGCAAAGACAGAGGGTCCAAAAAGAATTGTGTTCTGAGAGAGGAAGGGTTCTGGGAAAGGAAAGGTATGATGGGCAAGTAGGTAGGCAGGACACTAAGATGTGGAGATAATGTAGGATGCAGGCTGGAAGCCAGGACATTGCTAGGCGTCAAGAACTGATGAGGACTGAAGGAAGGCACTGACTGGCAGCAGGAGGCCATGAAGATGGGGGAAAGGACACTGACTTAAAGACAGGTGTTCTTGGGCTGGACACCAAGTGGGTATGACATGGATAATAAAGAGAAAAAGCGATGTCTGCCAGGAAAATGCCAGGACCTCTTCCAGCATCTGGCAGAGGCATCTGGATGGATAAGGAGCCCATATGAGAGGATGGGGAACCTGGACAAGGTAGAGGGGAATACGACGAGTTCAGTTTTTTGCTTGCTGAAACTGAGGTGCCTATGGCACATCCAAATGGAGACATAGGAGCTCTTCAAAGAGCTGCCCAGAAATAGAAAATAGTGACTGGGATATGTATCTCATACAAGCACACTTTTAGTTTGTTATTAAAACATATACACATGCCGAAACCAGTTTGGCTCAGTGGATAGAGCGCCGGCCTGCGGACTGAAAGGTCCCAGGTTCGATTCCGGTCAAGGGCATGTACCTGGGTTGCGGGCACATCCCCGGTGGGGGGTGTGCAGGAGGAAGCTGGTCGATGTTTCTCTCTCATCGATGTTTCTATCTCTCTCTCTTTCTCTCTGTAAAAAATCAATAAAATATAAAAAAAAACATATATACACAATTCTTTATGTGTCCAATCGTGCAGACTTAAGAATATCTTTTATTTACATTTTCTGCCCTTTGACCCTTTTGTGGCACATTAACCATTCCAGTGGATTGATTACTAAAAGCAAGAAATATCGTCATAGATTATCAGACATAGAACTCTAGACATGATCCCGTCCAATTTTCTTATTCTAGAACAGAAAACAGCTTTAGAGGGTTAGGTGGATGGTTCAGCATCCACAGCAGTAAAACAAGGCTTAGAATTAAGATCCTCCAATTCCCAACCTTTCTCTACATCTCAGTGTATCCGCTGCTTTTGACTTTCTAATCATATGGATTAGTGGGCCTAACCAGGTGGCTCATTTGGTTGGATCATCCTCTCACACATCAAACGGTGGCAGGTTTGATTCCCAGTCAAGGCAAGTACCTAGGTTGTGGGTTCAATCCCAGGTTGGGGCACATACAGGAGGCAACCCAATTGATTGTTCTCTCCCTCTCTCTTTCTCTCTCTAAATCAATAAAAATTTATACTCAGGTGAGGATTTAAAAAGAAAAGATTTGATAGAAAGAAATTGAAATTGTAGATGCCTTTTTTCCATGAAGAGGTAGTTAAATATAGTTGAGTCATATAATACTTGGGAAATCTAGCCATGGTTTCTTCATCTATAAATGTGATAATGATCGTCATATCACTGATGTGGTGCCAGTGGGTTGTGAAAGTGACAGTGATAGGGACTAGATATTTCTTAATCTGAACTCAAGGCCTGGATATGATGAGAAGAGCCATGGTTTTGGAATCAGAAAAACAAATTCAAGTTTTGGTCCATACACTTACTAGCCATATGTATTGTTTTCCCATGTTTGCTGTAACAAATGACCACAATAAGCAATGTATTAAAAAAGTATTCTCTCACCCTAACCAGTTTGGCTCAGTGGATAGAGCATCGGCCTGAGGATTGAAGGGTCCCGGGTTCGATTCTGATCAAGGGCATGTACCTTGGTTGCGGGCACATCCCCAGTAGGGGGTGTGCAGGAGGCAGCTGGTCACTGTTTCTCTCTCATCGATGTTTCTAACTCTCTATCCCTCTCCCTTCCCCTCTGTAAAAAATCAATAAAACATATTTTTTAAAAAAAGTATTCTCTCAGAGTTCTGGAGGCCAGAATTCCGAAACCAAGGGGTCGCAGAGCCACGCCCCCTGGGAAGGCTCTAGAGGAGAACTCTTCCCTGACTTTCCCAGTGTTGGGTGGCTCCAGGCACTCCTTGGCTTGTGGATGCCTGTTTTCACGTGATCGTCTCCGTTGTGTTTGTGTTCTCTCTTCTGTCTCTCATTAGGACACTCATTGAATTTAGAGCCCAGCCAGGTAATTAAAAAGGATCTCATCCCAAGATCCTTAACTTACATTTGCAAAGACTCTTTTACCCAATAAGGTCACACGACAGGGTCTTAAGACCGTCGTAACTTTTTGAGGTGACTGCTTAGCCCACTACACCATATGACCTTGGGCAAATCACTAAAGGTGAACGGGAGAGGGGGTTTCAATACCTTCCTTTATCCACCTAACGTCCATCATGAGAATTAAAAGAAATAACACACACGAAAGAAATTTGTAAAGAGTTATGTGAATGCTAGTTATTCTACTGACTTGGTCAGTAATTTATACAAAGGTTTCAATAAGAGACTGATCTCCGCTCTGACCTTTTCTCCTTTCCGTCTAAGAATAGTTTTGCTGAAGCACAAGGATTTCAGACCAATCTTTTTCAAAGGGAAGGAGAAGCATGTTACCATGTAGTCACTAAAGATAAGAAACGTTCAGAGAGAAATCATTGTCAGTTGTGTGCGTGCACAGACTTGAAAGACCAGAAAATGCCTTAGATGTTTTTCTAGAACAAGGCAAAGAATAAAGAAACAAAGAAATAAATTTTGTAAGTCAAACTGACAGAGTAGGTTTTTCCCTCTAAACTCTTTATTATAAACAAAAGCAAACAAAAAAATCAACTCAGCCCTGGCCAGGTAGCCCAGTTGGTTAGAGTGTGGTCCCAATACACCAGGTTGTGGGTTCGATATCTGGTCAGGGCACATACAAGAGGCAACCAATGAGGACATAAATAAGCGGGACAAAAATTGGTGGTTTTCTCTTTCTCTCTCTTTTCCTCCCTATCTCTCTCTCTATAATTAATCAATCAATAATTTTTAAAAACGTAAAATATATATATTGATTTCTCATATTCTCATGCTTATATTTTAAAATTGTTGCCATTTGCCACATTTGCTTTATCTTTATATATGTAAATAGATGGAATATTCCCAGCCATTTAAAAGTAGGTCAAAGCATGACACTTCATCTCTGTTTATTTCAGATAGCATCACTAAAAACACTTTCTTCTATACAAGCAAAATGTCATTATCGCTTTAGAAAAATTAGCAATAATTCTACACAGTAATCTAATAGTCTCAATTCTCTAAATATTCTAATTCTCTAATTAACATCCAAATGTCTTTTGTGGCTGTATTTTTTTTTAAAAAAACCCAGTATCCAAACAAGATCTATGCAATGCATTTGGTTGTTATATCTCTTTACACTCTCTTAATATAGAACAGTCCCACCCCCTTTTTCTTTTCCTTGACACTGACTTTTTTTTGAAGAGACCAGTGCTAGAGTCCGTGGAAAAATGGAATTCTAGTGCTCATCAGCACTGAAAAGAGCTGTGTATGTGGACGCCGAGGTTCTACATGTCCCTGCCCCAGCCTTCCTCTGTCAACGGAGCAGGAGAGCATGTCTTACAAATGCATTAGAAGGCTCTGGCTTCAGAGAAGGCTACTAGTATGTGCTTGCCCCCAGAGAAGGGGCCTGGGGAGGCTAGAGGGGCCACCACCTGTTGTGATAACCCTTCTGTTCTGCTTTGCTACTTTCATGATCACTATCAGGATATGTTGGAGCTGGAGGCTGAGCATGACCAGGACCTGCAGAGTAAACAGGATGAGCAAGAAACACATGATGCTCAGTGTGAGGACCCTCAACTCTCCACATCTTTGCAGTTTTCAGAGAACATCCCTAAACTGTAAGCTTCGACATAAGCTAAAGGAAACATGTAATATGTTTTTTGGAGGGGAAAATGAAACTTAGCAGAGAAGTTAGGGAAGGCTTTGGAGATTTAAAATACATACTTGCCGAAACCGGTTTGGCTCAGTGGATAGAGCGTCGGCCTGCGGACTGAAAGGTCCCAGGTTTGATTCCGGTCAAGGGCATGTACCAGGGTTGCGGGCACATCCCCAGTAGGAGATGCGCAGGAGGCAGCTGATCGATGTTTCTCTCTCATCGATGTTTCTAACTCTCTATCTCTCTCCCTTCCTCTCTGTAAAAAATCAATAAAAATATATTTTAAAAAAATAAAATACATACTTGAATTAAACCATGAAGCACTCATGTGCACAAGTAACTACCTACATGTTCAGCAAGAATGCAGAATAAAGACATTTATAAGGATATAGGTAGAGCCATATCACTCTCAGACAATTTTCTAGATATGGAAAGTATTCTAATTATCATTAAAATATATTGTTAGGCCTTTGTAGACCCTTTCCCTATTGTATACCTCTCCATCCCGCTGAGCTGCCACCACTATCCTGAAATCAATACTTAACATTCACTCTATACAGGGAAATTAAAAATATAGCTATTGTTTTTACTAAATATAAAAATAGGCTTTATTTTCTCCATTCTTGAAAAGATCTGTTATAATGGGTATCAAATACATTCCCAAACTTCTTTCTTGAGGCCTAACTGCCTCTGGGGCCTATTTTGGTGACAGAAAATGAATAAGCAAACCAACTTACCCTTTAAAAGAAAAGAGTTTGGACCATGTGAGATGTTTCCCATTGTTTTTACCTTAAAACTGATTATAATCATATTTTTGCAGGAGTCAGAACATATTTTTCCAGCTACACCACTGGAATACACAGACGGGTCTACAAGTGAAGGAACTCGGAGACGATCACATGGGCTGGATGAAGAAAATTAACAGTATTATACAAAGAGTAACCCTATCAGAAAGCACAGTGAAGAGGTAATTGTAAAGTGCTGAGGTTGGTCAGAAAATGATTAAAATTTTCATAGCTTCAGAAATTTTAGAAACTTGGGGCTTAAGGTGGTAAAGTTCTTAGGGAAATCTCTAGGATGAGAAGTATAAAGTCTTATGTTAGAAGTTAATGTCACACCTGTCAGAATGGCTATCATCAATAAATCAACAAACAACAACAGTTGGGGAGGATGTGGAGAAAAATGAACCCTCATGTACAATTGGTGGGAACACAGACTGGTGCAGCTACTGGGGAAAGCAGTATGGAGTTACCTTAAAAAATTAAAAATTAAACTGCCATATGACTCAGTGATTCCACTTCTGGGTTCTTTCAATTGTAGACCCATCAGTGTATTCCAGAAGTCATGCTAATAGGTATCAAAGGGGGGTTTACAGGTCCCCAATGATCCTTGAGTTTTATCCAGTACTATCTAAAAGAATCCCACCAGTTCAGCATGAAAAAATATTAAATTGTATTTGTTTAATGCATATATGAATTTAAGTGCAAAGTTTTAAGATGAAACAGGAAAAATAAAATTGTTATCTATCTAATCACTGGTATAAAGAGAATGGACTTTGGAGTTAGAAGGACCCAGGTTTGAATCCTGACATTGGGTCTACGGCCACACCACCCTGAACGCGCCTGATCTCGTCTGAATCCTGACATTGGCATTTCTTGGATAAGTTAATCAGCCTTTTCTGACTCTTTACTTTTTTTTTTTTTTTAAATATATTTTATTGATTTTTTACAGAGAGGAAGGGAGAGAGATAGAGAGTCAGAAACATCGATGAGAGAGAAACATCGACCAGCCGCCTCCTGCACATCCCCCACCGGGGATGTGCCCGCAACCCAGGTACATGCCCTTGACCGGAATCGAACCTGGGACCTTTCAGTCCGCAGGCCGACGCTCTATCCACTGAGCCAAACCGGTTTCGGCGTGACTCTTTACTTTTATTGTCTATAAAAAAGGGGCTGATGACAGCCATTTCATTGGTTTCTTGTGGGAATTAAATAAACTACTGTAGGTAAAGAATTTAACACAGTGTCTGATACACAATAAACAATAAATGCAAGTTATTCTTAGAAATAAATTCCTCTGGCCTTCTGAACCATCCTACCACATTCTAAATGCTTTCCCACTGCAGGGCTACTCTTCCTGTAGGCACTTCCTCGCCTTTCAGTTAAATATCTTCCCAAGGAGTTAAGCATTACCATGCCTTTCACTTAAATATCCCTTCCTAGCAGCCTTCTTCTGACAATCCTACCCCAAATAGCTTTTTCTTCCAAAACACTAATATTTGCTTTTTAAAAGAGTTTGTGGTTTTTATTCAAATCCTATACATTAATTTTAATTACTTTAAAAATTAAAGCATAATTTATATAAAGTAAAATTATGTTTTTAAAAAAATATTTTAATTTTATATAGAGAGAGAAAGAGAGAGAAACACCTCTCGGCAGCTTCCTGCATACCCCCTACCAGCGATCAAGCCTGAAACCTGGTCATGTGACCTGACCTGGGAATGGAACTGGTAATCTTTTGGTGCATGGGACAACGCCCAACCAACCGAGCCACACTGGCCAGAGCAAAATTATGTTTTTATTGCAAGTTTTGAAAAATGCATACAGCCGAAACCGGTTTGGCTCAGTGGATAGAGCGTCGGCCTGCAGACTGAGGGGTCCCAGGTTCGATTCCGGTCAAGGGCATGTACCTGGGCTGCGGGCACATCCCCAGTGGGAGGTGTGCAGGAGGCGGCTGATCGATGTTTCTCTCCCATCGATGTTTCTAACTCTCTATCTCTCTCCCTTCCTCTCTGTAAAAAATCAATAAAAATATATTTAAAAAAAAAAAAAAAGAAAAGAAAAATGCATACAGTTATACAGCCACCACAGTGACATAGAACACTTTCACCACTCATCAAATCTCATGCCTTTTGGGTTAACCACTCTCCCCTGGCTAAGCTGCTGGTCAACACTGATCTGCTCTCAATCCCTACAGTTTTGCCTTTCCCAGTCTGTCACATAAATGAAATTGTACTGTATGCAACCTTTTGAGTTTATCTTCTTTCACTTAGTCTAATACATTTGAGATTCACCGATTTTGTTGCATGTATCAGCAGTTTGTTTCTTTTTGTTGCTGGATAGTATTCCATTATGCAAATATATCACAGTTTATCCATTCACTAATTGAAGCACATTTAGTGTATTTTTGACAATAAAGACACACAGATTTTTGGCTATTCAGTTTTAAAATATATATATATATTTGCTTTTCCATGTAGATTTTAGAATCAGCTTGTCAACTCTGTTGTGATTTTTTTAAAAACTACCATTAATAAATTTTGGAAGAATTAACATTTTATCATATTGACTCCTTCACTTAATGAATAGAGTATATCACTATATTTATTTAGGCCTTTGATTCCTTCTAACAGTGTTGCATAGTGTTCATTGTAGAAATACGAAATATTTTTTATTTCTTTAGGTTTATGCCTATGTATTCATGCTTTTGGTACTACTATAAATGGTACTTTAAAATTTTCAACTCCTAATAGTTAATTGTTGTTATATAGAGTTGATTTTTGTGCATTAACCTGTCCTGTGACTTTAATAAACTCATTTATTATCTCCAGTAGTTTTTGTAGGTTATTTGGGATTTTCCACATAGATAACCATATCATGAGCAAATAGAGACAGCTTTATATCTTCCTTTCCAATCTATATGCCTTTTACTTCTTTTTGTTGCCTAGTTGTATTGGCTAGAACCTCTCTAGTACAATGTTGAATAAGTGGAGAGATGGACATACTTACCTTGTTTTGTTGATGTTAGATGCTTTTTAAAAAAATATATTTTATTGATTTTTTACAGAGAGTAAGGGAGAGGGATAGAGAGTTAGAAACATCGATGAGAGAGAAACATCAATCAGCTGCCTCCCACACACTCCCCACTGGGGATATGCCTGCAACCAAGGTACATGCCCTTGACCGGAATCGAACCTGGGACCTTTCAGTCCACAGGCCGATGCTTTATCCACTGAGCCCAACCAGTCGGGGCTAGATGCTTTTTTTAAAGATGCCCTTTCTCAAACTGAGAAAATTTCTTATATTTCTAATTTACTGAGATTTTTTTTAACATCAGAATAATCTGATTTTTTTCAATTCTATGAATGATCATTTTGTATTTGTTTATAGTCTCTTGACATGGTGTGGTATAATGACTAATTTTTGAATGCTGAATCAGCCTTGAATTCACAGAATAAAGCTCATTTGGTCATAATATGTTATCCTTTTTATATATTGTTGGATTCACTTCACTAAAGTGAAATTTTTAGAAGTATGTTAATGGGAGATATTGGTCCATGCTTTTATTTTCTTGTAATGTGTAGTGTTAGTAGAAGAATACTTGTCTCATAGGAAAAACTTGGATGTTTTCCTACCTGTTTGTGTGGAACTTGCATAGTTTATTCCTTATATGTTTAGTTGAATTCACCAGGAAGTCATATTTCCTGGATGTTTCATTGTGGTAAGATTTTTAACTCCTTTATGCTACCTCTTTATAGCCACAGCCATTCATTCTCCCAATTCCTGGCAACAACAAATCTGTTTTCTATAATTATATTGTTTCATGAACATTACATAAATCAAATCATGCAATATGTATCCCTTTGAGATTAGTTTTTCACTTGGCACAATTTCTTTGAGGTTCACTCAAGTTGTTGCATATATCAACAGTTCCTTCCTTTCCATTACTGAATAGTAGTCTGTGGTATGGATATATATATCCATACGAGAGAGAGAGAGAGAGAGAGAGAGAGAGAGAGAGAGAGAGAGAGAGAGAGAGAGAGAGAGAGAGAGAGAGTTTGTTTAATCATTCACCCACCAAAAGTCAATTGCACAATTTCTAGTTTTGGGTTATTATGAAAAAAGCTACTTTAAACATTCTTGTACAACTTCCTGTATGAAAATAAATCTTAATTTCTCAGTTGTCCCAGAGTAAAATCACTGGGTCATAGGGTAAGTCTGTTTTTAGTTTAATTTTGACAGAAACTGCCAAACTATTTTCCAGATTGTCCATACCATTTTATATTCCCGCCCACCACCAATGTATGAGTGATCCAAATTCTCCACATCCATTTGGTGATATTACTATTTTCCATCTTAGCTATCTGATAAGTTACACGTGTAGTGATATCTCACTGTAGTTTTAAATTTGCAAATCTTTCATGACTAATGGTGTTAAAAATCCTTTCATGTGTTTTTTGCCATCTATACATTTTTTTTTTTTGGTGAAATTTCTGTGCATGTCTTTTGTTCATTTTCTAATTGGAGAGTTTTTTTAAAAATATATTTTTATTGATTTCAGAGAGGAAGGGAGAGGGAGATAGAAACATCAATGATGAGAGAGAATATTGATCAACTGCCTCCTGCACACCCCCTACTGGGGATCAAGCCCGCAACCGGGAATCAACCACGATCTCTTGGTTTATAGGTCAACACTCAACCACTGACTGAGCCACACTGGCTGGGCAGGGCTTCCATTTCTTTGCTATTATCTAAATTATTTAGAGTGTTATTGTTTTTTACTTTTTTTGAATTGCATTTATGTCTCCCCATTCCAACACAAGCACTATCCAAGAGTCTTCTGTTATAGGAATTGGATTTAATTTTTTTTTAAAGATTAAAATTGATCCTTCTAAAAAGATCAAAAAAAGATTATGAGATTTTTCTTAATCCACAGACTTAGCCCATCTCCTGGTCTGTTCGCAGCTTGTTAAGTGAGGTGATGTCTTTGGAGGGCCAAATTGAAAAGCTGGAGTTACACCAGGGCCGTGACCCTGACAAGGGGGAAAACATCAAGGTAAGCTGGAGGCTTAGGAAGGACAACAGGGAGGCTGTGGGGACCCTGCCATCGCTTGTATTATTTAACAGGGTCATAACAAGAATTAAAACCCATCTACTGTCGCAAGAAGGAAGGAATGCGATCTGGTGGTCAGTTCTGAGCCCCTTTCGCCTGGGTACACGTCTGTTCTCTGATGAAAGAAAAAGGCCAGATTTTAAAAATTCTATCTAGAAAATCAGTCAGACAAAAAAGATAGGTTTATATCTTGATGCCATCTTAAGATAATGATGAGTACCTTATGGGAAAACTCTTCTTCATCCTTGTATCCCACCACCTAACAGTACAGAGAAGACACGAAATAAGTATTTGTGAAGAACTGCATTCTTAGAGTGTGCGAGATATAGTTGCATCTGTCTTTGCTTCCTTCATGAAGAGTTCTCTGTTGGTTTTCACTCTCCTAAGTTTTCCTGTTGTTTTTGTCTCCTTACGTTTTTTAGAGAAAGGTTTGATTTTCCCTTTTATAATGATTCATAAAATATTGCAAGAAAGGTAGTGATCAACTCTAGAAAATAATTAGACTTTAGAGCCCTGACTGATAACTTTTTCTGCTCTACTAAACTTCAGGCCTTTGAAGAAAAGTCTAAAAAAAGAAAAAGTCTGTGTCTAGCTTCCCCCGCCCCCCACTTTTCTTTTTTCTTTCTTTCTTTCTTTTTTTTTTTTTTACTGAAATTGCCAGCCCCAGCTTTAGCTTAAGCCAAAGAGTTTAAACTAAGTGGATTTTGGAAGAAGTAAAGGAGAAATAGCTCTTTTATTGTAAGAAGGTAATGTAATTCAAACCCTCACATATGAAAAGCCATCTACAGATTAGCACAGATTTATTACCAAGGAAAAAATTACTTTTAACCGTGACTCGGTCCAGCGTTTTAAGGTAGCAACCTCATTTGGTGCTAGTTGAAAAGTCAAGAATTTTTTTCACAGTCCTTGGGTTTTGGAAATTGCAAACTGTGAAAAGAGGGAAGAGGACAAAGGTCAAGAACTATTCTGCCTTAGAAAATTCCTTCAAAAGTCAGCTGTACTACAGGAATGTGGATTTCAGCAGGAGTTAGGGCTAGGGAGGGATGAATATCAAAGGAATGAGGAGGAAGATAAACAAGCACAAAAATAAATGAAAGTGAGATTTAAAAAAAAAAACAAATAAGAGCTATGGATACTTTGAAAGGGAAAGACATCACAGATATGTATGAAGATTCTCTCTGAAGTTACATAGCTGTGTATGCACTTAAAAAATATAGTCTCGAGACGGAAGATGGCGGCGGTATAGGCAGACGCGTCCCAGGTCGTGTCCCTGAGCAAATGGAGTGAGCAGCTGAAACTAGTAACATCCACCCCGAAATGGCGAAATTGCTCAGCTGGTGAGACGGTTTGCAGCCGGGAAGAGCAGAACTCCCCTGGAAAGGTAAAAAAAACCAGGGATTTGGGCAGGAAAGTTTGCCAGACCTCTGAGCCCAGAGAGTCGGAGGGAGACCGCGTGGCAGACAGCCGCATCCCTTGGGACAGGCACAGCCCCTAACAGGGGAAAGGAGAACCGCGGGATTCCTGGCGCTGCCGGGGGAATTGCGAGCTGGGTTCTGTGATCACGGAGGACTGAGCCTAAAGGGGGCAGCCTGAAGAGCTGACCAGACCATGCAGTCCCTGTAAGAGAAGAAGCTTACAGAAACCAAGCCTTCCCCGTTTCCGCGGCCGGCGTTTGTTTGTTTGTTTTCACTGAATCCTGTTCATGGGACATTTCGGATACAGACACTCACCTGTGCTGAAGAGAGGGAGAGTGTGCGGAGGAGTGGAATCTGGGGAGAGACTGAGGAGAGAAGGGGGGCCGGGAGAGGTGGCAGCGAATTGAATGCTGAGACACCCCTGAGCCCAGGACTGGGGCAGCCATTCTCTCCGGAGAGTGAGACTCCTCCCCCCAGCCCCCAGGCAAGGAGCACAGCCACACCCAGATTCCACCCTGTACCAGATCAAGGATTAAAATAACCTGATCAGTCCCTGGGAGTTAACAGGGTCTGGCCTATAGAGGGATTTTCAATCCCAGCAACAACACAGCGCCAGTAACTAACTATTACGCAGCCAGCTCTGGGCAGTGAACTTCCACTGGACAGAGAGGCCCTATAGCCTCAGAGGACAACCCCAGAACACTGCCACCCAGAGGCTGACCCACAAACTGACTCTTTGCTAAACACAAAATAAGGCAGTCTGGGAAACAAATGCGGCCTGCTTTAAAATAAGGACTGTGGTTTACAACACAGAGGAACAGTGTATCGCAGGGAAACTCAACGCTCTCCTGAATACCTGGCAGGTCTAAGGCGAGCCACACTGAAGAATAGAAGAACCGAAGGACCTTCACTACTGCAATTTTTTTTTTCTTTTTTCACCTTTTAACTAAGAAACCAATTTTTTTTCTTTTTTTTCTTCTTCTTTTTTTTCTTTTTTTTTCTTCTTTTTCCATCACCTGATTTTACCCTTTTAATTACTACCTTCTTATTTTTTTAAAAAAATATATTTTATTGATTTTTTACAGAGAGGAAGGGAGAGAGATAGTTAGAAACATCGATGAGAGAGAAACATTGATCAGCTGCCTCCTGCACATCTCCTACTGGGGATATGCCCGCAACCCAGGTACATGCCCTTGACCGGAATCGAACCTGGGACCCTTCAGTCCGCAGGCTGACGCTCTATCCACTGAGCCAAACCGGTTTCGGATACCTTCTTATTTTTAACCAGTATTATTACTGCTACCATTTTACCATTTTTTTTAAAGTGCCATTTTATTTCCTCTTTATTTTATTTTGGGATTAGTGTTCTCCATTCTATTTTCATCGTTATATTATTGGTTCTTTCTAGTTTGCATTCATCTCCAGGGAGCTGTTGCTGGAATTTGTTGGGATTAATGGCTGTTCTATAGGAGTATTCTCCATATAAAAAAGTCTCTTCCCCTCTTCCACTTCATTCTCTCTTTTCGCTCTTTTTGTTTTTTTTTTCTTTTCTTTTCTTTTCTCGCTTTTATTTTCCCCCCTCCTTTTTCCCAATTTCATTTTTGCACTCCTTTTTTTGGTCCCTACTTTTCTTTTCTTTTTTCTCTCTCTTTTTTTTTTTTAATATTTTATTGATTTTTTACAGAGAGGAAGGGAGAGGGATAGAGAGTTAGAAACATCAATGAAAGAGAAACATCGATCAGCTGGCTCTTGCACACTCCCTACTGGGGATGTGTCCACAACCAAGGTACATGCCCTTGACCAGAATCAAACCTGGGACCCTTGAGTCCACAGGCTCATGCTCTATCCACTGAGGCAAACCGGTTAGGGCTCTTTTTTCTCTTTTATCTTTTTCTCTTCCTTCTTCCTTATCCCCTAATTCTCTTAATTCATGTGGTCACCTTTATTTGGGGTTATTAATATCGTGAATATATTTGTGTATAGTGCCTGGTACGTGGTGCCTTGTTGTGTTGTATTTTGTGCCTTTAAATCAACGCAGCAGATCCAAGCAACAGCAACCTCCTGAGCACCACACCCTCTGATGAGGAACAGCAGCTGTACGTGAAACCTCGCCCCACCAGCCAGAAGAGCCACCACAGCTGTGAACAGCACCCACCAGAGGAGCTGCTGCCAACTGAAGAGAAGCTGCTACCGCAACCGCCCGAAGAGCAACCACAGACCAAGGAGTCACTGCCACCAAGGGAGCAACCACTGAACGACTCAACATCTAGATATGTCAGTGAGATCAAACATGGGTAGACAAAGAAACCCCCAAAGGAAAGAGAAGGAGGACTCTCCAGAAAAGCAGCTAAGTAATACAGAGGCATGCAACATGACAGAAAAAGAATTCAGAATAAGGGTCCTAGAGTGCATAAACCGGATGGAGGAAAAAATCGACAACCTATGGAAGAAGCTAGAAGAAACAGATGAAAAAATCAACAACTTAAGTAAGACCCAAGAAGAAATGAAGAGTGATATAGCTGCAATGAAAAACTCCATTGAAAGTATCAACAGTAGACTAGGAGAAGCGGAGGACCGAATTAGTGAATTAGAAGACAAGGAAGCAAAACACACCCAAAATGTACTGCAATTGGAGAAAAAAATTAAAAGACAGGAGGAGAGCCTAAGGGAGCTTTGGGACAACATGAAACGAAACAACATACGAATAATAGGGGTACCAGAACAACAGAAGGATGAACAAGGATTAGAAAACCTATTAGAAGAAATAATATCAGAAAACTTCCCTGAGGTGGGGAAGAAAAAAGTCACACAAGCCCAGAGAGTCCCAAACAAGGTGAACCCGAAAAGACCCACACCAAGACACATCATAATTACCATGGCAAATGTTCAGGACAAAAAGAGAATCTTACAGGCTGCAAGAGAGAGACGGAAAGTTACATACAAGGGATCTCCCATTAGATTGTCAAATGATTTCTCAACAGAAACACATCAGGCCAGAAAAGAATGGACATAAATTTACAAAGTGATGCAAAGCAAAGGACTGAATCCAAGAATACTCTATCCAGCAAGGCTATCATTCAAACTTGAAGGGGAAATAAGAAGCTTCACAGACAAAAAAAGGCTAAGGGAGTTTATCACCACCAAGCCAGCAAAGCAAGGAGTGCTAAAGGGACTGGTATAAAAATAAGAAATAAAAAGCTCAGAAAGAAAACAGCCACACAAAAAAGGAATGGCTACAAACAAGTACCTTTCAATAATAACTTTAAACGTAAACGGACTAAATGCTCCAAACAAAAGACATCGAGTGGCTGAATGGATAAAAAAACATGACTCATACATCTGCTGTCTACAAGAAACCCACCTCATTAGAAGGGACTCACACAGACTGAAAGTGAAAGGATGGAAAAATATCTTTCAGGCAAATGGAAAGGAAAAGAAAGCTGGGGTAGCAATACTTATATTGGACAAAATAGACCTCAAAGTGAAGGCCATAATAAGAGATAAGGAAGGCCACTTCATAATACTAAA